TGATCAATTCGATAAATTATATTGATTGATAAATTGATTATTTGGAATTTATTCTTAATCGGACGTAAGTTATAAACCTATTGTAACGCTTTTGATTCATATTTCGGTGTTTTCCGGTTAAAGGGGCGGTCGAGCGATTATCGGGTGGGGGGGGGGGAATTTTTGGTCAACTTGCAGCTCATTTTTAAGCACCTTAAACTTGTAGACAGAAAGTTTGACAAGCTTAGGTAGCTAGAACGTAAACTCAGAAACATGTTTCATCAAAAGTTATTAACAAAAACCTATCTAAAATCGGACTGGAAAATGGTCGAAAACTCAAAATGGGATTTTTTTTGGTCAACTTGCAGCTCATTTTTAAGCACCTTAAACTCGTTAGATCAGAAAGTTTTAACGAGTTTTAGGTAGCTTAGAACGTCAACTTTCAGAAACTATTTGTTTCATCGAAAATTATTAACAAAAACCTATCAAAAATCGGACTGCAAAATGGTCGAAAACTCGCTCCCCCAATAACCGTAAAGATCCCATCTCTCTTATGCATTAATTGAAATTGTTGTTAGTTTTAAGATTCAGATTGTAAAGCTTCATTTATTTGATATGGATTTGAAAAGTTTTATTTAAACAAATGATCTTACACATCAAAAAAAACACATTTTGAGTATAAAATAAGATTTTGAAAAATCGTGTTTCAAAATATTGGTTTTGACTGCACGGTTTTATGATTTTATCACTTAAATATAATAATTTTTTTTCCATTTACCAGTAAACATCTATTCATCTAAACAAAAAATTAAACCAAAATTTGACTTTGAAAATGAATTTTTCAGCTGTTTTTTTGCTAGTTTTTTTCGAGTTTTCTTGTAATTTATGAAAGAAAATCGTTTGTCCATTCGCAGATCTTTTTCTTCTTATCTTTCCCCCTTTTTCTGAATCATTTCGTTTTTTTGAATGCTTGTTTGTCAAGTTTACATTCAGAATTCCGTTTGATATACCGTATTTACTCTATTAGTGGGGTCCTCTCTAATAGTGGGGTCGTCTGGAGGGGGGTTGAAAAAATAGTGGGGTCCTCTCTAATATTGGTAACGAAAGTGATACATCAATTGTTGATCTCTTGGATTAGTTCTTTTACTGTTTGTTAATGTTTTGTTACGGTTAAAGCTAAATAAAATATGAAGCCAAACTTGTTTTTTCAAGAATTTCGGAGAAAAATTGATATCTTTTCAACTTAAAACTTTGGTTTTATGTTCTTTTAAATTTCTCTAATAGTGGGGTCCTCTCTAATAGTGGGGTCGTCTGGAAGGGGATTGAAAAAATAGTGGGGGACCCCACTAATAGAGTAAATACGGTAGGTAGAAAAAGAGAAAAACGAAAGAACGAAAAAAAAACGAAGACTTTTGAACTAGAATCAGAATTTTTCCTTTACGAAACCCCAAAAAAAACTTGTTTTTCTATAAACTTTGATTCTTATGATAAAGAAAAACAAAGTCTCACTTTAGACAAAACAGTTTCATTTTTAACAAATCTCAAGAAAGAGTTTTTATTTATGGGGTTGGTGAATTGAAAACCGCGGGACTTTCATCTAATCATTATTGTTTCAAATTCAGCATTAATCGGTTTATTTCAAATTCATTAAACAGTTTCTTTTTAATATTCTTTTTAATATTCTTTTTAATATTCTTTTAATCTTTCAAAGTTATTGAACTTTTTCTATAATTCAGTTTTCTTTTTCCATAAGTCCAGTTTCCAGTTTCCAGTTTTCTATAATTCTGTAACTTTTCTATTTCTAAATATACAACGATTTTCAGCTGTTCATTGGATAAATCAGAAAACGAAAGAATAAAAAAAATGATTGAGGAAGAGAATTTCACAAGCCAAGTGGGTTGCAATTGCATTTTCAAAACTAATTTTGAACTTTATATATCATAATAATAGTTTGGATTATTTCAAATACCGTCTTCTCTCTAATAGTAGTGCACCCTGAGCGTTTGGTTTAAAGTTTAGCTTAAAGTTTCGCTTAAAGCTTTAGATCAATTGTAATTTATGATCTTCTTTAATCACTTCTTTAATCCATTTTTTCATCTTCTTCTTTCTTCTTTCTTTTTTAAACCAATTTACCGTATTTTCTCTAATAGTAGTGCACCAAAAACATTCTGGATCTATCTGGCTGTGCTATGATTTCCCCATTGAGACACGATTTCAGAATAGAACCGAATTTTTGTGCAGCTAATCCTTCTTTGAACCATATAACGTATTTTCCCTAGTAGTGCACCCTGAGCGTTGCCTAAATTGCTCGAAATCTCGAGAACCGCTTATCAGAACCTATCGATGTGGGGTTGGAAAATGTAGCTGACGATGAGATCTTGTGGGGGGATTAGAGTGTTGAGCTTCTGCAAAAGCTTGGAAACCGTAAAATAGTCATCAACTCGGCTCGGCGGGGTGCAGCAATATTAGAGAAAATACGATATATTATATATTGATCCCGTCATGGCTGAGTGGTTAGGAGTCTTGTATTCTAGTCAGGAGCTCACGGGTGAAAACTACCGTCTTCTCTCTAATAGTAGTGCACCAAAAGCTTTGACTAAATTGCTCGAAATTTCGAGAACCGCTTATTAGAACCTATCGATGTGGGGGTCGGAAAATGTAACTGACAATGAGATCTAGGGGGGATTAGAGTGTTGAGCTTCTGCAAAAGCTTGGAAACCGTAAAATAGTCATCAACTCGGCTCGCCAGAGTGCACTACTATTAGAGAAAATACGGTATTGTAAATCGATATTTCAATCAACATAAACTTAAACAAAATGGTTCGGCGGATCTAGATTTTAAAAACCCCTAAATTTTAACGTTTCCTTTTTTCAGTTCCTACCTCTACTCACCTTTTCTCTCTTCAACATCACATTTTTCATCTCAGCAATTTTCATTTTTCATTTGGTGAGTTTTCGATAGAAAAATAAAGATAGATAAGGTAAATGACTTAAAAAAAACCCCCAACAAAAGTGTCTAAGTGTCATGTCTAACCAAGTTTTATTACCCGATTCTGTATTACGAACTATGCAAAATCTTTTGTCGATTCGTACAATCGATAAAAGATGCTACATAAATACGAATCAAGACCAACAATCAAAATCAATCAAAAGCAAAAAGCAAAATCAATTTTCCTTCAGCTCAAACCCTTATCACCGATTGCTAATGAACGACGAACGATCAACAGTTCGACTTTATCAAAGTGTGTTTTTTCTCGAGTTCGATACGAAAGACAAGAATATAGAATTCACTTTTTCAAGAAAAGTTTCACTTTAGACAAATCTCAAGAAAGAGTTTCTATTTAACACATTCCGGACGAGGCGTTTTTTGGGTTACTGACCCAGTGGATGAGGGGTGTCTCGCCAAGCTATTAGCCCGGAAATACACCTCGGTAGAGCGTCTGTCTCTGGGGCGGGTTTCGTCCGTTGGACCACAATTTCGTCCACCGGGGGACCGAATCGTCCCCGAGGCCAGACGGCCTTCGTCCACCGGGGGACCGAATCGTCCCAGGCCCCAGACGGCCTTCGTCCACCGGGGGAATCGTCCCAGGGGCCAGACGGCCGTGGTCGACCGGGGGACCAAATCGTCCCAGGCCCCAGACGGCCTTCGTCCACCGGGGGACCGAACCGTCCCAGGCCCCAGACGGCCTTCGTCCACCGGGGACCGAACCGGGGACCGAATCGTCCCAGACCCCAGACGGTCTTCGTCCACCGGGGGACCGAATCGTCCCGAACGTGTTAATAATAGCCTCTTCAACATTTCTTCCCAAAATTTTCAACTCCAGAAAACCGGAGAACAATTTGCGGAGAGCGGCGACGATTGGCTGAATAATGTTCAGTTTCTAAACAAAATCCCATTCCAAAAGCCATTCCAGTGTGTACAAAGAAAGAATTATTTGCCTATGATTCATTTTTGAAAATATTATTGATAAAGCACAAAGATAAACACTTTCGCAAAGTCACAAAGTTTTCTAAAGCAATTTAATTCACTTTTCTAGCAAATAAAAGACGATTTTTAGCTGTAAAATTGCTAATTTTTACTTAAATAAGTTTTGTTTTGTGAGTTTTGACTGAAAATTTCTTGATTTGAAAGCTTTATTCAGCGTTGAAGTCTTGAAAAACTAGGTTTTAAATGTATCAGCTCGAAAAGAGTTTCACAGGGAAAACCAGTGATTCTGTAGGAATTCTGTAGGAGAAAGCAGTGAGTTGTCTTTTGAAATGCTTTATAAAATAACAAGCTCAATGTATAAGATATGGAAAAATTTCAATCTGAACCTAATTCTAATTCCATCATCGTTTTCTTGAGGTTTTTCGGGCAATTTAACGAGCAACATTCATTAAAAGTAATAAAAATGGTCTTATAATTCTATCCATCCAATGTTAGGTGTTCATTTCGAAGACGACGTACAAGGTGAACGTACGAGTACGACGTACGAGTTGAACGTACGAGTACGACGTACGAGTTGACCGTACGAGTACGACGTACGAGTTGAACGTACGGGTACGACGTACGGGTACGACGTACGAGTTGAACGTACGGGTACGACGTACGAGTTGAACGTACGAGTACGACGTACGAGTTGAACGTACGAGTACGACGTACGAGTTGAACGTACGAGTACGACGTACGAGTACGACGTACGAGTTGAACGTACGGGTACGACGTACGGGTACGACGTACGGGTACGACGTACGAGTTGAACGTACGGGTACGACGTACGAGTTGAACGTACGGGTACGACGTACGAGTTGAACGTACGAGTACGACGTACGAGTTGAACGTACGAGTACGACGTACGAGTTGAACGTACGAGTACGACGTACGAGTTGAACGTACGAGTACGACGTACGAGTTGAACGTACGGGTACGACGTACGGGTACGACGTACGAGTTGAACGTACGAGTTGAACGTCTTTTGGCACCAAAGTGACTCACTTTGCATGAATGGCGCAAAGGTTTGCATCACAAAAGAGATTTGTCAAATAGTCTCTGTCAAATAGACCTCTGCAGCCTCCTAAATAAAAGGATATTAACTCAAGATAATGAAAAACAAGAACTTTATAGAATTGACGAGTGCACTAAAAACTAAGCAATGGCATTGGGCTGTTAAAGTGCTAATTTTAATTAGATACCTACTTACTCGGGCTTTACGTACAATTAAAATTCTATTCTATTATACTTACTCGTAGCGCGTCCACGACTAAGCTCTGTACTCTGAAATCGGGTTGAAAACGCTGCATGATTTCCTTCATCACTTTGAAAAACGCGAGTTTCGGAATTTGCAAATCGACGGTCTCTCTTTTTTTGTTGTTTACCCAAACAGTCAACAAATTCCCGACAATTCCGATTACTCCAATCATGAAGAAGATTGTGATGAAGATCATTGTGATAAAGATCATTGTGATGAAGAAGATTGTGATGAAGATCATTGTGATGAAGATGTTTACCCAAAGTGGAGTGAATGGATCTCTGAAAGGAGATTGATTGATGATTGTTTTAAAGTTGAAATGTTCAAGTTCAAGGCGATTTGCCTTATCTCGCGTTTGCAAAGCGTTCTTCTGATGTCTCGAAGAGCTGGGACTAAAAAAAGTTTAGCGAGCTTAAAAAGCACTTAAAATATTATGAGATTAACTAGAGTCCTTCAAAAAAGCTTTTTCGGGTAGATTGTTCTAAAATTTTTAGAGTGTCTTTCCGAGAAAAACTATGTTTCAACTTTTCTAAATATCAATTCAGAAATCGGAAATTAACAGCGTTATCGAGTTGTGGATAGAAATTTAGAAAGATCGCCTATGGATTGGAATCGTCTAGGATAGAGGGATAGAGTACTGCTTTAAAGGTTGTAATCGCTAGGATAGTGGGATAGAGTACTGCTTTAAAGGTTGGAATTGTCTAGGATAGAGGGATAGAGTACTGCTTTAAAGGTTGGAATCGCTAGGATAGTGGGATAGAGTACTGCTTTAAAGGTTGTATTAAAGTTAAGAAACTTAAGAAAATACATTAAAAGTTAAGAAAATAAGAGCTAATTAGCTTGAGTTTTGACATTTTTCTATCTCTGCTATGTATTCAATATTTTTTAAAAAAGGTTAACGGAAAAAATAATGCCGGTTTAGATTTCGCATTGGAGAATTGAAATTGACTTCAACCCAACTCACGAGCTTGAAGAAATCTTGATCAGAAGACAATCGAAAACTATTTGCATCAATTTGGGAAAAAAAAACCGCTGTGAAAAATGGATCCCAAGAAAAATGACTCAAGACAACAAAACAACTCGTGTCAATGTCAGTTCTTTTCCTTCATAAATGCAAAGCTAGTTTTTGGGATTCGATTTTGTTAACTGATTTTGTTTTGGGCTTGGATTAATGTCAAAAAGGAAGAACAAATACCGTATTTTCTCTAATAGTAATGTACTCTGGCGAGCCGAGTTGATGACTATTTTACGGTTTCCAAGCTTTTGCAGAAGCTCAACACTCAAATCCCCCACAAGATCTCATCGTCAGCTACATTTTTCAACCTCACTTCGATAGGTTCTGATAAGCGGTTCTCGAGATTTCGAGGAATTTAGGCGACGCTCAGGGTGCACTACTATTAGAGAGAAGACGGCAGTTATGTTCCAAGCAGGCAGAAAGACAGGCTACAATCAGCTAGCCAGATCTAGAGTCAGCTCTGACTGACGGACACTCAGGGCTTCCTATAGGCCAGGCTCAGCTTGAACGATCGTGACTGGCTTCCTGATTTATACTGCTTGTACTTCTCACTAATCCCCCACAAGATCTCATCGTCAGCTACATTTTCCAACCCCACATCGATAGGTTCTGATAAGCGGTTCTCGAGATTTCGAGCAATTTAGGCAACGCTCAGGGTGCACTACTAGGGAAAATACGTTATATGGTTCAAAGAAGGATTAGCTGCACAAAAATTCGGTTCTATTCTGAAATCGTGTCTCAATGGGGAAATCATAGCACAGCCAGATAGATCCAGAATGTTTTTGGTGCACTACTATTAGAGAAAATACGGTAAATTGGATTAAAAAAGAAAGAAGAAAGAAGAAGATGAAAAAATGGATTAAAGAAGTGATTAAAGAAGATCTTAAATTACAATTGATCCTGCATAAAGCCAAAGAAGATCTTAAATTACAATTGATCTAAAGCTTTAAGCCAAACTTTAAGCCAAACGCTCACGGTGCACTACTATTAGAGAAAATACGGTATTTCTTGTAGAATCTTGTTACACTCAAAAAAAAAAAGAGAAATACAAATAATGGGGATTATTCTTTTTTCCTTAACTTAATAATATAAAATATTTGACATGTAGACTTTCGTAGTGTCTCGTTATTGTATTTCTCACAATTTTCTGACTCATAGATTAGAAAAATGGAGGTATTTCTATAGAGACTCGTAGGCTTTTTTTAGGGAATTTTCGATCACAAAAGATTTCAATTTACTCTCAAAAATGCGATTTCACAAATAAAAGTATAAAAGGTATGATGGCTTTTTGAATTTTATCAAAAGAAAATGAAATTCTACGTTTTTTTGCCATTTCTTTTCTTTCATTTGAGTGATGCGTGTCCGCCAGGTAAATTTGGGATGAGATGAGATCTAGTGGAGGATTAAATGCTATTTAAATGCTATTTAAATGCTATTTAAATGCTACTTTACTTAAATGCTACTTAAATGCTATTTAAATGCTACTTAAATCCTACTTAAATGCTACTTTACTTAAATGCTATTTAAATGCTATTTAAATGCTATTTAAATGCTACTTAAATGCTACTTTACTTAAATGCTATTTAAATGCTATTTAAATGCTATTTAAATGCTACTTAAATGCTACTTTACTTAAATGCTATTTAAAGCTACTTAAATGCTACTTAAATGCTACTTAAATGCTACTTAAATGCTACTTAAATGCTACTTAAATGCTACTTTACTTAAATGCTATTTAAATGCTATTTAAATGCTATTTAAATGCTACTTAAATGCTACTTAAATCCTACTTAAATCCTACTTAAATGCTGATGTGCTACTTTGTGCTTAAATTATTAAATGAATTATTCTTCTCTTTCCTAGCATATCCCATTCTTCATTTTCTTTGCACTATTTGATTGAAGGAGAAAAATAAAGAATTAAGTGCACCAGAAAGGGTGTGATTTTAAGATCTTGAGCATAGAATTCTCAGACTTGAGCACAAGACCTCTGTACAGCCAATACAGCCAATACAGTACGGTCAAAGTTCAGGAAAAACCTAGTTTAGTGCTTAAGAAATCCAGGAAAAGCTAGCTAGGTTAAAGCTCAGCCCAAGCCTGTTAGTGAGTGATCTAGAAAGTTTTTACAGATCAGTTTTCCATCTATTCCATATCATTTCAGGAACTGGCCAATCCCCGATGATCGCCGTCACTGTCACGCAACTTCCGTTGGATTGGGCGACTGCAGGAGGCACTACAGGCGGCAGTAACCTCATCACGATTCAAAACGATTTGCGAATGGCGGTTTGTTAAACGAATCGTTTTCCATATGATCTGCTGCCTTTGGATTTGAATTTATAGCCACCTTTGGATTTGAACTTAGGTGCAAAACGCGGCTCGTCGTGCTTTCCCCTTCGGCACACAAAATAGTTACAGTCGGAGTGTCGGCACTCCGTCACTCAACAATCCACAGGTGACTCTCATTTCTTTGCTTCTTTGCTTTCACAGTCTTCTTTAGACATTTGTTTGTGTACAAAGCCCTTCAACAGGAACTACAGTAGGTAGGTATTAAGAATTACATGTGAGTATATTTGATTTTACAAGCCAAACCAGCATCAGATCATAACCATGGCTTTGCTAAGGCTATTATGGCTATTATAGCTATGATGACTCTTTCCTATTACTTAAAAAAGGGAAAGTAAGGAAATTCGGGTTAGGCTTAGGCTTAGGCTTAGGCTTAGGCTTAGGCTTAGGCTTAGGCTTAGTTTAACGGTTAAAGTTAAGTTTAAGGTACTAGAAAAGAGACGATATTATCTTATTAAGGCACGTGTACCTTTATGACGGGCAATACACAAATAATCACACAAACTTGTGTGGCTGCTACACAGACGGGTGGTACCATTGGTCCTTGCGCGAACTCGTGGAAAATTCAATTCATGTTGAGCAATGTGAGTCCTGTTTTTTTCTTTCTATAATCGAATTGGAAAGAAATTTCGAAAATGCTTTTGAAAATTTCTCAGATCTCTCCGCCAACCCTGCAAGTACAGATCAATCAATTTGAGCAGTTGATGGCACAAGAGATACAGGTGAGATACAGAAATCAGGGCTTAAGAGCGACTGGATGTACGGCTTACTCTAAGAAATTTCGAACTTGTGACTGTCGAACTTGTGCTAGATGTTGTTGAAAATCTAGCTTGTAGCTTGAAATAGCTGTAGAAGCTGAATAACGGACTGTAGACTGTAGATTGTAGACTGTAGATTGTAGACTGTAGATTGTAGACTGTAGATTGTAGACAGTAGATTGTAGACTGTAGACTGTAGACTGTAGATTGTAGATTGTAGACTGGTAGACTGGTAGACTTGTAGACTGGTAGACTGGTAGACTGGTAGACTTGTAGACTGGTAGACTTGTAGACTGGTAGACTGGTAGACTTGTAGACTGGTAGACTTGTAGACTGGTACACTGGTAGACTTGTAGACTGGTAGACTGGTAGACTGGTAGACTTGTAGATTGTAGACTGGTACACTGGTAGACTTGTAGACTGGTAGACTGGTAGACTGGTAGACTTGTAGACTGGTAGACTGGTAGACTTGTAGACTGGTAGACTGGTAGACTGGTAGATTGTAGACTGTAGACTGTAGACTGTAGATTGTTTAGCATCTCATCTACAGTCTACAGAGATGGTAAACAACCTTTACTCTAAAGTCAAATTGCAGACTCTCAAAGGTATCTCATCGGTGATCGTCGATGCTGGAGATATCACCGATTGGACGGGCGGACTCTTCCCATATGGATAACTTGAATGAGAAATAAATGAGAAATCTGTGTTTAAATAAATCTGAAGGAGAAGAATGTGCGTCTGAACAACCCTAAAAACAGCCCAAAACCCAGTATAGTGTTTGGAGTCTTTTATTTGTGCTCGAAAATTGTAAACACACCCTTTCTGGTGCACTCGATTCTTCTGAACGGCTGGGCTTGACTGGAATTTGTAGAAAATATTCAAATTTAAGGCAGTGATTTTGAGATTTCGACTCTTGCCCGTTGCCCAGAGTTTCTGGGGTTTTGGAAAAATACTAGCAAATTTAGGGCAGAAATTCGTCCCAAGAATTTGGGCATGTTGACGGAAAACTGATTCAGTCGTTCACCGACTCCTTTCCCTTTAAGGATTGCAAGGGAGAAGCACTCTAGACCAGATTTGTTTGCCAGATTTGCCAGATTTGATTCGAAACCAGCCCAAAAGATGAACAAAACCATTCGAAATCTAACTTTTTGGCCCAACATCAACCCGCTTGTATGTTTTGGATCGTCATCTTGTTGAAGTAGCTAGGGGGACTCTGTATTTGCAGGGGGCCCACTACGCCCCTATGCCCAGGGGGGGCACCTATGCCCAGGGGGGCACCTATGCCCAGGGGGGGCACCTATGCCCAGGGGGCACCTATGCCCAGGGGGGGCACCATGCCCAGGGGGCACCTATGCCCAGGGGGCACCTATGCCCAGGGGGGCACCATGCCCAGGGGGCACCTATGCCCAGGGGGGCACCTATGCCCAGGGGGCCCATGCCCAGGGGGCACCTATGCCCAGGGGGGGCACCTATGCCCAGGGGGCACCTATGCCCGCCCAAGGGGGATCCCTGCGCCACGATGCCCGCCACGTCCACGCTTTCCTCTTTAACAGTTTCCATAACGATGGGAACCCTTATTAAGGTTCTGAAGCTATTATTAAGGTGCTAAAGGTTCTGAAGTGATTGGTGAGAGAAGCGGAAGTGTCTATGTGATGATTCCCCATAACTACAGGGGATTCGAATCCGAAAATTCGAAATGGAATCGATTCGAAATCGGGAGAAGACTCCGGAATCGATTCCGGAGTCTTCTCCCTCCACACTAGATACAATGAGATCACGAGCGTTCATCTTCAAACATTTTACTGTAATATCTTAATATCGAATCGAATAGTGCCAAAAAGACAAAAAGGTTTTGTAGATTTTGTCTACGTTTTCCTAGGCTCACCAAAAAAAACAACGATGTTTTCTCGCTAAACAAGACGTGAATTTGCCAGGGAAAAACGGCTTTTTGCGCCTATTTACTCACACAAATTTCCATAATCAAACAAATTCATTTATTTATATGGTCTCTGCCAGCGTATATGTTAGATTTTGCCTTTCTGACTTAAGGTTTCAAATTTTATGAGGCTTATGTTGAATTTAAACAAAAAAAAAATCAATCCTTCTGCTAGCAATTATTCAATTATCAATTTGATAGCTTTTTTTTGAAATTTCATTTATATCCATTCATTTTAAAGCTCTCGTTTTGTTTGGTTTTAAAATTTTTAATTAATATTTCAAATTTGATTGATTTATTCGCTTTTATGGTATCCAGCAAAGAAATGTAATGAAATGCAATCAAATTCAATCAAATTCAATCAAATTCAATCAAATTCAATCAAATTCAATCAAATTCAATCAAATCCAATCAAATTCAATCAAATCCAATCAAATCCAATCAAATCTAGGTATTCAGCATGTCCAGATTCCTTTCTCTTCTTTGTCTCACTTCCATCTATCACATTGTCACCATTTCTGCGCGAGTGCCCATTGATATCGACAAATTCGTCAAACCGCTTCAAAATGGGGAACTTTATGGAGAGGACAAGGTAAACGACGACGAAAAATATTATTAGTATTCTCAAAATTTTTCAGGAAGCTCCATTCCGTCCTGAAATCGATGATCCGATTCATATGGACGAGGTGACTGATGAGGCTGAGAGGTTGGAGGCTGAAGAATATGGAATGGAAGAAGAGGGAAATGATATGGAAATGTTGAGGAAGAAGAGGTAACTGAGTGAAATCACGACTGTTTCAAAAAGCTAGAAACCATGGTTAGCCAGATCAGGCAAGGCCATAAGCCAAGCCATAAGCCAAGCCATAAGCCAAGCCATAAGCCAGGCCATAAGCCAGGCCTATTAATTGATATTGATTTATGGCCGGCTTTGGTCTGGCCTGAAATTTTTGGTCTAGAAATAGTCCTGATTGAAATGAAATCATAAAGGCTTTAGCCAAGCACTGTATTATTTAACTGACTGGATAACTACAATATAAAAACCCAAATGAAAAGCTTGCGCATGATTATTTTTGGAATTTTTGCAAAAGAAGTTGTTGCAGTTGAAACTCAAACTTTTTATTTCGTTAGTTTGGAAAATTCTTTTCTTTTACCATCAAGATTTATGTATTTTTGAACTGCGAACGCAAAACTTTATGGAAAAATGATTTCAAACTTCAAAACATGCTTCAAAACATCAAACTTGACGGCTTGGAGAAGAAACTTTAGAAAACTTTAGAAAACTTTAGAAAACAGTTTCAGCTGCGTGGATAATTCATACAACAATCTCCTTTATGTTGTACTTGAAACTTGAACTATTTTTCAGGCATTGTTGTGTCTGCGATTGTGATTGTCATAGAGTTGACATGCCAAAAGCCAGGAGTGAAATCAAACTGCATAAACACAAGAGAGCGATTCACGGAGAGGAAATCTTTCCAGAGAGGGAGGTTTGCAGGAAGTGAGTTGGGGAATTTCGTATCAATCTTTTGGTAAAACTTGTAATTGTGAAAAAATGGGTCTTAATAAGTTCAGAATTTCAAATTTAACTCCATAACGCAAAATCTATTATAGGTTTATAGGTTTATTTTAAATAAGATCAACTTTAGCAACTTATGAACAATGTGATATGATTCTTAATTGTGATGTTTCAAGTTTAGGGAATTTTGATTGAAATGAAAAATTATTAACAAATAGCTGAGAATAAAGCTGAGCCTCAGCTGAGAAGATAGCTGAGCCTCAGCTGAGAAGATAGCTGAGCCTCAGCTGAGAAGATAGCTGAGCCTCAGCTGAGGATATACATCCAAATCCAATTTATCGTTTATTAATATAAATGTGGAAAATGTTAGAAATTTTGTAAATAAGCTATTTCTATTCTTTCGCAAACCTTTCGCAAATCAAATTTAGGCTCATTAGATATCTAGTTACCGTATTTCTTCGAATAGAAGCCCGGGTAAAGAGTATCATCGCGTACTCCTGCGTAGCAGCCCTTTTTAAAATTCCTTTTCTGCATAAAAGCTTTCAATCAAGTGCTATAGAGCTGGAAAATGGCTCAAAAATCTGTTAGCTCATGTGGTATTTTTGAGTCATTTTCCAGCCCTATAGCACTTCATTAAAAGCTTTTATGCAGAAAGGCAATTTTAAAAAGGGCTGCTACGCAGGAGTACGCGATGATACTCTTTACCCGGTCTTCTATTCGAACAAATACGGTATTTAACTATAAATACTGCATTAACTTACTCGGTAAAAAGAACCCTGAATACCCAGGCATTTCCCTCTTTGTTTCTTGTGTTCCCTATTTCTTCTTGGGTAAAGAAGGCACCAATAGCTCAGTGGTAGAGCATCTGACCGATAAGCAAAAGGTTGAGGGTTCCGTTCCCCCTTCGGTTTCAGATTCTTTGCCATTCTTTTCTTTTCTTTATTACTTCGTTATCGTTGTCGTTCAAGTTCAGAAAGTTTAACCCTGACAACATAAATAATTTTTAAAATTTCAGATCCAACTAATTGTTGAAACTTCGCTTCAAGGACGAATCAATAAATTAGCTACCAAATTTTATAGGAATAAATGTCTTGTTTCAAAATTTGTAACTTTGACAATGCATTACAAACCTTAATTACATAATCGTATGTGTTTAACGTATTACCGTATTTTCTCTAATAGTAGTGCACCCGGGCGAGCCGAGTTAGTAACGACTTTACGGTTTCCAAGCTTTTTCCAGAAGTCCAACTCTCTAATCCCCCACTAGATCTCCTTGTCAGCTACATTCTCCGACCCCACATCGATAGGTTCTGACAAGCGGTTCTCGATATTTCGAGCAATTTAGACGATGATCAGGGTGCACTACTATTAGAGAGAAGACGGTAGTTATGTTCCAAGCAGGCAGAGACAGGCTACAGTCAGCTAGTCAGATCTAGAGTCAGCTGTGACTGACGGACACTCAGGGCTTCCTATGGGCCAGGCTCTGCTTGAACGATCGTGACTGGCTTCTTGATTTATACTACTTGTACTTCTCACTAATCCCCCACAAGATCTCATCGTCAATACCCTGTATTGGTAACAAATAGAGCTAGTGCAAAATAGAAAGCTATTTTGCGCTGAACACTGTAAACCAGTCATCACTTTTTTGTACGCGGTCTACCCTATGTATTCATTCCCTATTTTGCGCTCAACCTATCGATAAAGGCAAGGTCTATTGTAGTTTTGAATTTTGACTTGTGTTAAGACATAAACGATCAGGCGACTTTTCACACAAAAGCCCGTGAGACCAATTTTATTAATTTTATTTGATAAAAAGCGATTATTTGTATCGTTATTATTAAATTAAATATATTTATATATCCTGAAATTTGTTAAAATATCAAACAAAAACCTGAAATTCGGGGTGTTTCAGCGTTTTCCCGGCTCTAGCCCGCTTATAATGCAGAAAAGCTACCGTAGCTCGTCGCAATTTCCAATTTCCCCTTTCAAGCCTCGCTTCGCAAAGGCGTTTGCTTAGTTTCCAAGTTTTTAAGCTTCGTTTTTAATGTTTCAAGCCTTATTTGCTACTTTTTTACCTGAATAATGATATTTTAACTAAAGAAGAGCAATCCCTAACAGAAAAAATTTTAAATTTTAAGCTATAGAACCGATTTTTCACATCATTCGCACTTTTGACGACTAAAAACGCTTTGATTTGACTATTTATATAAATTTTTGTTCTTAATTTTGAATTATATTCGTTTGAATTATATTTTAATATATTTTTTCTTTTAGAAGATGGCCGATCCGTTGAAAGTTCTTCGCGATTACGCTCAGGGGAAACGCGGTTTCAAGGAAATCACACAGGTTTGCGATTTGCTTTTTAGTTAAGAATTCTATAAGTGATTGGGCGCAAAGTTTAAGCCATTAGAATGGTGAAGCTAAATATTTTATAGTTCTTCAAGATGCTTTGGTAATTTTTGCACTTTAGGGAGACGAGAGCTTCTACCTTTTTGACGACATCGCCTATGAGAAGAACACGAAGACAAATCTGTGCGTTTACGGTAAGATTTTGGAAATTTCCTAGATGCAGTAGATATCAATTTACATTTTTAGCACGATTTCCACTTATCGTGGAGAACTTCTAAAGGTTTCCTTGTTTAGTATGTAATGTTTTAAGCTTTTTATGCACTTACAAAATCTTACACTTTTGTTTAGGAAAGGAAAATGATTACTATACGCTCGAGTCGCTTTATTTCATCTGGGAACGCCGAGAAATTCCCCATCCAGCCTATGTGAAAGAAGCAGCTGGAAAGGGAATCCGAGCTGTCACTCGGCCTGATCGGTAAGGATTGTGTTTTTGGGAAGAAACGGTAAAAAAGAAACTAATTTGTATTGCTAAAAAAACTATTGTGAGAGTTTATACTGTCTTTTATTTAGTCGTGACCTGCTTGACTATTTGCGAGGTGAGCGAGCCGAACCGCCGACAAATTTTGATCGTCTTGCACAAGCAGCCACTCCCATTCCTGTGTCAAGATTTCAGGTAACTGCTAAAACTTTTTGGTTATAAACCTTTGTTCAGGAATTTGAACCGGAAAGAAAACGTCAAAAGCTTGACACGGCTGCTCCAGGAATTGCTCCAAGAATAGAAGAATTGCTCCGAGAAGTAAACTTTGTTGATTTGAACTGTTTAAAAGGGGAAAACTCAACAACTAAAGATTTTTAGGATGGTCCATCAACTGCAACTGAAGATGAAACAAATCTGCGTGCTCTCAGCGACAATCTCACGGCTGATAAAGTAAGTTTTTAATTTACATATAATTGATATCTTAAAATTTAGATTGCTGCACTTCGAAAGAAGAAACAAAACCATCAGAAAAGGACAACAACGGCTGCGCTAGATGATATGTGAGTGATTAAGCTGTTCAAAGAGAATACACATTGCTTTGCTTTAGTGAAATGACGACAATACCAACAGAACCAACCACACAACGTGATCCAGAACTGCTGGTTTGTTTACTTTTACTAGAAAACGTTTATCGCAGATTTTCTGGTATTAATTTGATCTAGAAAAGGGAACGCGTTTGGCGAACAAGGAACAATTGTCTAGAAGCTCAACAAAAACATTTCTCATCCGTTCTCCAACTTTTACAAGGCATTAAGGTCAATCTTGAAGAGAATTATAAGAAATTAGCCTTTTTTTTAGATGCGCGAGGAGACTGAAGCTAGAAATAAGGCTCTGGGAATTAACACACAAGCTCAACAACAAGCTAAACAGGTATGAGGTTTAAGAGTGAAGGTTTACGAATCGTTAAAGACATTACAAAGACAGAATTTTATTGCTTTGTTTAGGATCCAAATCGCCTGAAACGAGGTCAAGTTGGCTATTCACGTTACGACCAGGAACAATTCAACAAGTGCGTCGACAGCGTTTGAGCTAAACTAAAATTTTTTTTGTTGTAAATGTTTTACATATTTTAATTTTAGAGATGAAGTCGGTTTTGATGCTGATTTGACTTTTGTCGGCGCTAATCTGAAGAATATGCCCGACAAGAAAGCGGTCACTGGAGGTTAGCCATTAAAATTGAAATATACCATTAATGTACTTTTATTGACTAAAATTTCAAATTTAGTTCCATTGGCTCCTCGTGGCGCTAAACAATCCTCATCACCGGTTGTTTCTTCTACTACCGATGGGTTTGTTATTTTGAAAGATTTCACAAATTCACTTTTCAAATTTAGCAACACTTTGAAGAAGCGTACCTCAAGAACGCCAATTATTATCATTCCCGCCTCGACAAATTCCAACTCAATCATCTCTATGTACAACGTTCGTGAAGTGTTACAGGTTGCTATTTTTGTGAATTTTAAAAGAATCGAAATTTAGGACATGACTTTCGTGACTACTGAAAAGAAGAAATTGGAAGGGAAACGAGAAAATGAGGTTAGAGGATTTTAATAAACTTTTTAGCACATCGTTTTGTTAAAGATTTGGAACAAGAATTTATTTAGGTGTTGGTGCAACGTCGTAAAGGAGGACAAACGGTGCCTTACCGAGTCGTGGACACTCCACAAAGGCTGACAAGTGAGGAATGGGATCGAGTGGTGGCCGTCTTTGCTTTGGTAAGTTTGTTGGTCGCGTTTTTAACTTCAATGTGAGAGTTTTAAACGATTTAATCGATTAGTCTGTCTTGGTTTTTAAACTATACTTACATTTTAGGGTCCCACTTGGCAATTCAAGGGATGGCCGCGGTGGAACGGGAATCCGGCGGAAATCTTTGCCAATGTTTGTTTTGTTTATTGGTTTCAAGAGACTCAACCCCAATTAGGTGGCTGGATTTCATCTCACCTATGACAATTTACAAGTGGATCAGAATGTGGCTCGATGGTCGGTACGTTTGGCAATTCAAAAACTTAGTTAAGTTTTATTTTAGGTAAAAGTGATTGCTTTGAGTCGAGATAAACGCCACTTGGATCGAGCGAGACTACAGGTTTGCTGTTATTTTCTTAGCCAGTACTTTTTAAAAGGAAAATATTGGATCTATCTTTGTTTTTAAACTGTACTTACATGTAATAAAATAGAAATGATTTTTTAGGATACAAGATAACTTCTAAATCATTTAGTATAACTTTTAATCGTCTTTGTTCAGGTCTTCTGGGATATTCTCGATCGTCACATCGCAATGAATCGGCCACAGCTTCGTTTTTGAAATCACCGATCACAAGTTTTCACTCTTAAATCATTAAAGTTAAATGACTATTTTGTCTTGCTAATGTCTTTTGTCTTTACGCTATTCTTGGCTAAACGATGGCCAATTTTGTTATTATCTTTATTATTTCTTCTGATTCGGGTGTTTTTTAAATTCTCTTTGACGTTCTCAATTTTATGATTTTCTGTTCGTAATGTTTTACAATTTGTTGAAATTATAAATGTTTAGCTCATAGGAAATTTGCAATTTATTTGAGATCAACTCTAGTGAATTTACAGTTTGTTTTTGACTCCAATTGGTGGCAGAGGTTTCGGTTTTCCAAGGGATTTGAAGAAGAATTCCTGGAAGATTTCAATTTCAGGTGGGTATTGTAACACTCACCTTGCTTCTCTCCCAGACAAGTTCTTGACTTTTGCAATGAGTGTAAGCATCGTCACAACCGTAGTGCTGATAGGTTTCTGAAAATAGTCTTGATAACATGATTAGGTCATTAACAAAGTCTTCTTAATTCTGAATATAATCAGAATCAGATATTCAGTTGAATTCTGTAGCTCCGATACTTTATGACTCACTGGTGAATCCAGAGAATACGTATGGCATATTGGGCAGAGTTGGTGGTTCCATTAGATGCCCGCCTGGCACAATGTCCACCTCGACGTAGTGGCCTGGGATTTTGTTCGAGTCAGTTGCATTTTAGGAAAAGGCTAGCGTAAAATTGCGCTGATCGATTGGAAAAAGGGAAAACTATATGAGGTGTTTCGTCTAAAACGTCCCCTCTTACACGTTTTAAACACGTTTTAGAAAATGGATCTCACCCATTTCTTTGATTTTCTTCTCAAAAGCTCGGGCTGACGCTTCAGCTGTCGTTGAAAGGTCGTCAATGGAAGCCTGAATCGAATAAAAGCTCACTGAGCTGATCTTGTGCTTTAAATAGGCACTGGAAATGGATACCGTACTCTAGAACGCTGCCCCTATAATGATAGGCGTACAATCGTGTAGTCTAACTTTAAACGTCTCGTTCTCCGCGCTGCTTTAAGCTATAGTGTGCATTTTGGTGTCAAATGATAGCCTATAAAATCTAGTATTTTTAGTGCCAAAAGTGTAGCTGGGAAAAACCCTAGAAGCTGAGAAAGAGATGATTTTCTAAAAAGAAGTTAAACTACGCGATTGTACGAAAAGGTGACGTTCTATTAGAGTACTAAAAGGTCTGTACTAAACTACTGTACTGTACTGTACTGTACTAAAAAGGTCTGTAAATGCTTTAGCACTAACCACTAATCGAAATCGTGTCCCCTTTTTGCATTTACTAAATTGATGTTCGGCCTCTTTTGGCACCTCCATTTTTTCAAGTGTTGTTCGATAGATTAAAGCGTTGTCTTTGAAATCGTATTCGATTTCCGATGGCAATCTAGAATCGAATTCTTTTTGAATCAATGATTTCTTTATGAAATCTTACATCCCAGTCGGCAGCGGTTGCCCATTTTCGGTGATTTTTGCATTTGGATCCATGTAGTGAAGTGAGTTGATTATACAGTAGGCTGAGAGCTGAAATTTGTCGTCACTACTCTTCTGTACTCTCATTTGACACGTTTTCTACCGTAATCTTGTCTATGTTTTTTTCGTAGTCTTTTCCTTTTCTAAAATTTCCTTTCTTTTCCTTTTCCATTTTTCTATTGTAATCTTGTCTCTTCTTTTTATCCAATCTATTCATTTTTCCTAGATTCTGAAGCTTCACAAAGGATATCGAAAGATCAAAAAAAGTGAATCGATTAAAAGAGATAAGATTAAAATAGATAAGATTAAAATAGATAAGATTAAAAGAGATAAGATTAAAAGAGATAAGATTAAAAGAGATAAGGTTAAAAGAGTTAAAAAAGATAAAAAATAGACCCAAGATTACGATAGTTGAGAAAAGCGGACACGTTTTAGAAAAAAGATTATTTTGACTCTTAAATCATTGATTACACGAAAAGATATTACAAATGCCAGAAAAGAACAAACACTAATGAGTTAAGCTAAAAATATAAGCATATAAAAGATAAGGAAACGAGCTACGAGCGAGAGAACGAGCGTTAAAGAAACGGCTGATACAACTCACTTTATCCGATCGATCGGCGATTAAACTCAAAACAACGCCGCCGAAAGAGTTCGCTTGGATGCCGATTGAGGAGACGAATGACTGCTTTGAGAGCCAATCGATTGCTTTCTGGAGATGTTTTTTTTAAATCATGCATTTATTCATACGAATAATGTGGCACAAACAATGCACAAGCATAACTAGAGTGTGTTCCTCGCGACTAAGTAATTACTCGAGTAAACTTTGCATGAGTACTTTTTTTTACTCGAGTAATAGCTCGAGTAATAGCTCGAGTAAAAGCTCGAGTAATAGCTCGAGTAATGCGTTTTCTAAAAAGTGCGAAAAACCTGCGCGAAAAAAAATATAAAAGCAATTTTTTGCGCAGGTTTTGGGGGTGGGACAAGTGCTACCTTTTTTTTGCGCACCCGGACATTTGCGCACCTTTTTTTTTGCTGGAAAAGGCCTTAGGAAAGGTCGTAGAGCTTCGAAAACATTTTTTTACATTGAAAGGGAATTTCCGACCAAATCAGTTAAACGGCTGAGTATCTTTAAAAAGTGTCGTATATAATGCGGGGCTCTTGATTTTTGGCGTTATTTAGTTCCTTTAAAGCTCCTTTAAAGCTCCTTTAAAGCTCCTTTATCGTTCCTTTCTAGTTCCTTTATAGTTCCTATTTATTTCCTTTAAAGCGCCTTTAAAGCTCCTATTTTTTTGCAATAATTTTTGCTAAAAGTACGCTAATTTTTTTCCCAAGTGTACGTTTTAAAAAACGAATTACTCGCGAGGAAAACACTCTAAGCATAACCCCTAAGCTCTAAATATAGAGAAAAAGAGCTAATAATCCAGCCGGGATCGAACCCTTGACCTCCCGTCCGGCTCTTAGCCAGTCGGACATGGCAAAACCATTTCAAAGCTTTCAAAGCTTTCAAAGTTCGATAGTTCGTTTGCACTCACCAAAAAGTAATTGATATCGACCTCCTCAAGCTCTTTTGGCAAGCTTTTATAAGCAAAAAAGGCAAGGGACAGAGTGGCGAAACCTGGAATTGCTGGAATAGCAAAAAGAAATCAAATCAAAATCTAGATTATCGATATTTTAAGGATTGTTAGTGTTAACTTTATCTGTTCTTTCCTACCATACGAGGCGAGAAGGGCGCCTCGATGCTCTCGAATTCCGCCTCCAGTCCCAGCAAAGTCGATTATCGTGGGAAACGGGCCAACACCTAAACAGTTATCAAATTCTAGACCTAAATTTAGACCTAAATCTAGCTAATATCTTTCCTCTTCTATTGGGTTGATGCAAATTATCCGGCTTCTTTTTTTTTTTTTTTTTTTTTTTTTTTTAAATATGTTATTTAGAAAAAAATGCGGGTAGAAAATTAAATTCATTTTTCCCAAATTATTTTTTAACACTAAGAAAGGGGGGGGTTTGGGGGGGGGTTTTTTTTTTTAAAAAAAGGGGGGGGGGGAACGGGAAAAAATAAAAAAAAAAATTAAAAAAAAAAAAAAAAAAAAAAAAAAAAAAAAAAAAAAATTTTTTTAAAAGAAAGAAAAAAGGGAGAGGGGGGGAAAAAAAAAAAAATTTTTTTTTTTTTGGGGGGGAGGGGGGTTTGAAAAGGGGGAAAGGGGGGGGGGGGGGGGGGGGGGGGGAATTTTATTTAATAAACTTATGAGGGTTATCACCATAGTATTATTCCTAATAGTATGACAGAGGAGCGTTTCGTAGTCGTTTTTTCCAAAGCTTTTGACTGATTTTATTTTTTTCTAAAAAATTGCTTTTTCTTTCTAAAAAATTCCTGCCTCATTTCTCTAAACAAAGTCGAAAAAAAAAATGATTTAATGCGGAAAAGATAACGACTACGCAACGATCCTTTATCATAACTATTAGGGAAGTAAGCCGATCGGAAATTATCAACTTTTATCAACGCTTTAACACGTTGACGACAATAGCGCTTTTACACAAACAATCGCATGGGACAATGTTGTTTTTTTTCGACAAAAAATGTCACCTGACATCAGGTGACAATGTCCCAGGCGAACGAATATGTGTCAGACAGCATCAGGTGACAATGTCGTCAACGCTTTAAGCGTACAGCTATAGCAGTGATAAGTAAAACTTTTAAAGTAATAAGTGATGAGTAAAAGAATTTTAAAACTGTGAGGCAATGGTGAGTGGATGAGATTAAAGGGAAAGAGATTACTAGTAAGAATTGAACGTTAGAAATCAGATCCATTCGCACCTGGTGGCAAAAAGAGCGTCCCAGTCAGTGCCTCGTTGTCGATTTCTTCTCTTCTCACCAATGGATGTTTCCAATGTCGAATGTGCGTGAGCTTCGATATTAATTTGTCATCTTCATCCAATAAACTAGAAGAAAAAGGGATTGTGTGAGGTTTTATTTGTTAGTTTTCAACGAAAAGGAATGAAAAACTCAAAAAAAAAGCTTCTTGAAAAGCCTAATATTCTTGTTTTCGCTATTAGAATAAATCTTTTTTGAATATTTAGTTGAAGGTAACTGTTTCTAGTTGAAGGGTAACTGTTTCAAGGCTAACTAGTTGAAGGTAACTGTTTCTAGTTGAAGGGTAACTGTTTCAAGGCTAACTAGTTGAAGGTAACTGTTTCTAGTTGAAGGGTAACTGTTTCTAGTTGAAGGTAACTGTTTCAAGGCTAACTAGTTGAAGGTAACTGTTTCTAGTTGAAGGTAACTGTTTCCAAAAACCGTACTAGTTTAATAAACCTGATAAAGTAGCAAAAGTAGCAAAACTTTTCACCAAATCGTGTAAATGAAAGGATCGGGCGGAGTGGCCCAAACAGTTGCACCCAATCGCACATCTTCTGAGGGAATTATCGAATGGAAGAGGCCCATTGGATCGATCACTAGGTGAGTATCATTAAAGTTGAGTATCATCTTTTTTTTTGAAAACTAACAACTTAAACTACCTGAATAAGTGCCGCTGGTTGGCGCCTGTTTTCGCAAATCAATTTTCCCTCTCGAGTCCGCTTTGAAGACACCGAATGATTTGTGGGTACCCGTTCGGTGTTTTAAACTGAAAATTCTTTTCTTTATAGTCAAATAAATGAAGGATTTATGGATTTATTCAATTCTTTTTCTACATTTAAAGATTTTTTTTTTGTTCGACATTAGATAAGTAAAAAGAAGTCCAATTGAAAAGATTGAAAAATTTGTGTTCTGAAAAATTGCCAACATGGATGATATGTTGAAGTTTCAATATATCATCTATCTTGGCAAGGCTTTTGAACCCAATCATCGCATGATTTAAAGTTAAAGTTTAAAGGGTACTTGTGAATCTGTTGCATTCATATTGTTTTGAAAATTTGCTTATATGAAGGCGACGGTAATATGCGATGTGAGCTTGAGCTCTAAGTCTAAGTCTAAACCTAAGCTGTAGGCGACGGTAATATGCGATATAGGCGTCTAAGCCTAAGCCTAAGAAGCCTAAGCCTAAGAAGCCTAAGCCTAAGCCTAAGCCTAAGTCTATGCCTAAGCCTAAGCTAAGCCTAAGCCTAAGCCTAAGTCTATGCCTAAGCCTAAGCTAAGCCTAAGCCTAAGCCTAAGTCTATGCCTAAGCCTAAGCTAAGCCTAAGCCTAAGCCTAAGCCTAAGCCTAAGTCTATGCCTAAGCCTAAGAAGGCTAGGTCGATGCCTAAGCTTAAGCCTAAGCCTAAACCTAAGCCGTAACCTAAGCCGTAGGCAACAGTAATGAACGCTGCAACAGATTCGCCGTAGGTAACGTCCATGCTAGCCCGTGCTGTGCGGCCGGGAAGTCTCTTCCGTTCTGCGTCACACCATGTTTTTTTAAAGGAGCTGGAAACCACGTGACGCGCAGAGAACGCACAGAAAAAGGCAAAGCTATGGCCTACTTTTGTATTTGTTGCACGCAACTATTTCTATGCAAATTTTCAAAACAAACGCAAATTGGGTTTGCGTGCAACAAATTCACAATTACCGCTTAAAGTTTCTTTTAAACTCTAAACTTTATCCATTTAAAGTTTCGAAATTTAAAATTTTATGCTTTAAAATGTTTTAGTTTGAAAAAAATGTTCCTAAAAAAGAAATTACACAAATGAAATCACAAACCTCATCGAGATTTGATATTTTTTTCCAGCTTTGAGTTTTGCAGCGGAAATATTCACCAATTCATCGCATAAACATTCGAATTTACTGATGGAGAGCATTCTGGAAATGTTTTGAAATACGGAAAGAACACAATACAAATACAAATACAAATAAGTACACAATACAAATACCGTATTTAATCTAATAGAAGCCTTCAATAAAAGCAAAAACTATCGTAGAAGACTCTAATAAAAAGCCACCCCATAATGACGAGCGTACAAACGCGTAGTCTAACTTTAAACGTCTCGTTCTCCGCGCTGCTTTAAGCTACAGTGTGCTTTTTGGTGTCAAATGATAGCCCTTGAAGTCTAGTTTTTTTGGTGCCAAAAGTGTAGCTGGGAAAAACCTAGAAGCTGAGAAAAAGATGATTTTCTAAAAAGAAGTTAAACTAGACGATTATTAGAGTATTTAAAGGTATGAATATACGGAAATAAGTACACAATACAAATACCGTATTTATTCTAATAGAAGCCTCCAATAAAAGGAAAAACCACCGTAGAAGACTCTAATAAAAAAACATCCCATAATGACGAGCGACAACCGAGTCTAACTGACCGTCCCGTTCTCCGCGCTGCTTTAAGCTACAGTGTGCATTTTGGTGTCAAATGATAGCCCTTGGAATCTACGGCAATGGAAGCCTGAATCGAATAAAAGCTCACTGAGCTGATCTTGTGCTTTAAATAGGCACTGGAAATGCATACCGTACTCTAGAACGCTGCGCCTATAATGACGAGCGTACAATCGCGTAGTCTAACTTTAAACGTCTTGTTCTCCGCGCTGCTTTAAGCTACAGTCTGCATTTTGGTGTCAAATGATAGCCCTTGAAGTCTAGTATTTTTTGGTGCCAAAAGTGTAGCTGAGAAAAACCTAGAAGCTGAGAAAAAGATGATTTTCTGAAAAGAAGTTAAACTAGAGGGGTTATTAGAGTATTTAAAGGTATGAATATTCAGCTTAGTAGACTGAATACGCTGAGTTTTGAGTCTTTATGGATAAATAAGGCATTTCTTTGATAAAAATAGCATTCTTTCTCATTTGTTTTCGATAATTTTGATGGTAATTTTGAGTTTTTGAGTAAAATAGTAGTGAATTTGCTTTTATTAAAATAAATCCGGTATTTAAATAGTACAATCAGTACAATAATAGTACAATAATATTACAATAATATTACAATAATAGTACAAGATCTAAATAGTACAATAATTGTACAATAATCGATAAATACTATCGATTATTGTACTTTTAATGTGTACTAGAAAAGCATGAATAAATGAAATGAAATAAAATAGATCTAGAGCAATGTCTTCAACGACAAGACTGTGCCTTTCACTTTGAAACCAACTAAATCCTTATCATTCATTTTTTTTCGATTACTGGAAAGATCACTTGCGATCAAACTAGTCGAACCTCTCTATAACGAACCTCGATATCGTAAACCCTCAACGGGCGGACCGGTCCCGGCCGACGTTAAGCAACGGCCCTTATGTACCTCTATTGTGCTATGCCCGTGGTTAGTTATGGGTTCCACTTACATTACACTCTGCCCAATTTTGAATTGACTTTGCTTTTGAGACAATTCCATTACTCATATATATTACTTGAAGTTTAGATTACAGTTTATATTACAGTTATACTACAATTAACTCGCTTTTCAACACATTCAGCTCAGGTTTTTAGCCTAATCTAGAGCTTGAGTTTGAGCTTGAACTTGAGCTTGATCTTAAGCTTGAGTTTGAGTTTGATCTTAAGCTTGAGCTTAATCTTGAACTTGATCTTGCGCTTGGGCTTGATCTTGAGCTTATTCTTGAGCTTGATCTTGAGCTTGATCTTGATCTTAGGCTTGATCTTGATCTTGTTCTTGAGCTTGCGCTTGAGCTTGATCTTAAGCTTGATCTTAAGCTTGATCTTAGGCTTGATCTTGATCTTATTCTTGAGCTTGCGCTTGAGCTTGAGCTTGATCTTAGGCTTGATCTTGATCTTGTTCTTGAGCTTGCGCTTGAGCTTGATCTTAAGCTTGATCTTAAGCTTGATCTTAGGCTTGATCTTGATCTTGATCTTATTCTTGAGCTTGCGCTTGAGCTTGAGCTTGATCTTGAGCTTGCGCTTGATCTTGTTCGCTTGATCTATCCTAATCTGTAAACACACCTTTCTAGCACACAAAATTCTTCATTTTCTCATGAAAGCTCATAAAATCTCATGAAAATAAAGCGTTCATTGCACCAGAAACAGTGCTTTTCTATTTCTAGAGCACAAAGTACAACAGAGAAACGGCTATTCATGTTCTTGACCGTTTCCTTACATCAATTCTTTGTTTTGATCGACAGGGAATGTTGGATTGCGAAACGCACATGAATCCCAACATTTCCCCTCAGCCTTTCCTTCAGTTGCATCACTTTTGCCCGTTCGGAAAGCGACTTAAAAAGAGTCTTTTTCTTCAATGATCTCCACCCTTCCTTAAATCTCTCTCAATCTTTTCTCATTTCTTTCATATCTCTCACTATTTTCTTTCCAAAAACCAATGATTTTTCCATTCAGAAAAAGGGTTTTCTTATTCGTTTTCTATTAAAAATTCTATTTGAAACATTTTTTTAGTTGTTTTTTTTAAAACTGTTCTTTAAACTGTTTTTTAAACTGTTTTTTTAGTGACATCATTTGTTTAAAGTTAAATTGACTAGCTTTTGAGCCATTTTTTGATACAATTTGATACAAAATTTGATAAAATCCTTTATTGCGTCATGTAATTCTTGATTTTCTTGCATAAATTCATTAAATATTTGCACTAATAACATTAATAAACTAATAGTTTTTTAGTTTTGAACTAATAAACTAATAGTTTTGTAATTCAATCAATTCTAATCACTTTTCTCTAATTGAAAAACTTTATACGATTATAGAAAGATATCTTTTATTGGTTCTTTTCCAATATCGGGGGAGCGGTCCGATTATCGGGGGAGCGGAAGGATTATCGGGGGAGCGAAAGGAAAATCGGGGGAGCAAATTTTGGCAGCGCTACATATGTCCTATATTATACAAACTACCGCCATAAAATCCGCGAATTACCCGTTATTCTCACAACCTTTATATTAGATCACAAAAGTGACTTAAATATCTAACACCAAATCTACCGCCACCTTCCCTATCGGTCGCCTTGTCTTTTTGCCGAACGCTCCACAATCCCGAACGAACAAATGGCTACCTAAAAAATTATTCATTAATAGTATAATTGACCATAACAAGGAAAGAAATGCAAACGAAGTAACCAAAACAAAAGCGCATCGTCGTTAAAGTTTTAAAAAAAAACGTTGCAGTTAAAATACAGTCCCGGAAATGCATTTTTCGAGGGGGCAAAATTTGCTCCCCCGATTTTCCTTTCGCTCCCCCCAATAATCTTTCCGCTCCCCCGATAATCGGACCGCTCCCCCGATATTGGAAAAGAACCCTTTTATTAAATATGATAAAATTATTAAACCTTAATAAGATTGCTTTGAAACTTTGAATATTTTCGGAAATAGAAAGCTTTTTTCTTGTATAGGAACGATTTAGGAATCGATTTTTGAAACAATTTACCGTATTTTCTGCTAGAGCTGACTCTAGATCTGGCTAGCTGACTGTAGCCTGTCTTTCTGCCTGCTTGGAACATAATTACTTTCTTTTCTCTAATAGTAGTGTACCATGAGCGTCGCCTAAATTCCTCGAAATCTCGAGAACCGCTTATCAGAACCTATCGATGTGGGGTCGGAAAATGTAGCTGACGATGAGATCTTGACGGTGGTTAGAGTGTTGAGCTTCTGGGAAAAGCTTGGAAACCGTAAAATCGTTTTTAACTCGGCTCGCCCGGGTGCACTACTATTAAAGAAAATACGGTATTCTTTTACAGTTTGATCATAAGACTTGAAACAAAGGCTTTGAGATCATAAGACTTGAACGGAAAGTGATTCCAAAAGTGAATCAAAGTGATTTATTGCTTTCAAATCTTCAGTGAGACTCAGAAAAATCATTTGAAAGTCACTTTCGTTTAGAGATTTATTGTCATTGTTGCTTTTAAGAAAAGAAGTTTATCCAAAGCCTCTATTACTCATCGAATCAACTCAACTAATCCATTAAACTTGAAACTTTGAATATTTTCGGGAGTAGAAAGCTTTATTCTTGTATAGGATCGATTTATGCATCGATAAGCATTCTGAAATTGCAAATTTTATCAATATCATTTATTTTATCTAACTTTGGGTACTTTTTTTGACTAAATTCTTGACTTTCCCAGAGATTCCTCTGATCGTTTGCCATTAGATCACAAAAAGTCTCATCAATTTCATTTCGATTCCTTCAATCTTTTTTCCTTGAGTCTTCTTTCAAATGTCACTAATAATTTCTATCACCAATCACATGATTTTCATGATCAATCAATACAGTAATCAAAAAGAAAGGTCATTTAATGAGAGAGATTGAGAGAGATTGAGAGAGATTGAGAGAGATTAGAGAGATATTAGAGAGAATATTAGAGAGAATATTAGAGAGAATATTAGAGAGATATTAGAGAGAATATTAGAGAGAATATTAGAGAGATATTAGAGAGAATATTAGAGAGAATATTAGAGAGAATATTAGAGAGAATATTAGAGAGATATTAGAGAGATATTAGAGAGATATTAGAGAGAATATTAGAGAGAATATTAGAGAGATATTAGAGAGAATATTAGAGAGATATTAGAGAGAATATTAGAGAGATATTAGAGAGAATATTAGAGAGATATTAGAGAGAATATTAGAGAGATATTAGAGAGAATATTAGAGAGAATATTAGAGAGAATATTAGAGAGAATATTAGAGAGAATATTAGAGAGATATTAGAGAGATATTAGAGAGATATTAGAGAGAATATTAGAGAGATATTAGAGAGAATATTAGAGAGATATTAGAGAGAATATTAAGAGATATTAGAGAGAATATTAGAGAGAATATTAGAGAATATTAGAGAGATATTAAGAGAGATATTAGGATATTAGAGATATTAGAGAGATATTAGAGGATATTAGAGTTAGGATATTAGAGAGAATATTAGAGAGATATTAGAGAGATATTAGAGAGAATATTAGAGAGAATATTAGAGAGATATTAGAGAGAATATTAGAGAGAATATTAGAGAGATATTAGAGAGAATATTAAAGAGATATTAGAGAGAATATTAGAGAGATATTAGAGAGAATATTAGAGAGAATATTAGAGAGATATTAGAGAGATATTAGAGAGAATATTAGAGAGATTTCAACCACCGTAATCTATCCACTTTTTGTCTGATTTTGTGAAAGTTTACAAAGAATATTGAAAGATTCAAATAAATGGATAGATTAAATAAAAAGAAGAGACAAGATTTGATAGATTAGACAAGACAAGACAACGATAGAAAGAGAAAGCTTTAATTGATTGAAAATTAATTAATTGAGAGTGAAGTGAGATCAAGAATTAGCGCAAGATCAAGAATCAAGAAAAATTGAATCTAGGAACGAAAAGATTGCAATTTTAGAAAAGAAATATGAATGAAATGTGAAATTTCACTTAAATTTCATTTAAATTTCACCTAAAAGCCTTTTTTAAAACCTTCAACAGCAACAGATTAACAAATTTCTAATGCTTTTTCTAAAACCTGCAACTTTCTACTGTAATCTTGGCTCAATTTTGTCATCAAATCTATCCACTTTCTCAATCGTTTTTTTGTATTTTTTCGTTTCACTTTTATATATTTAAAGTACAGTATTCTCCTCGTTTTTCAGATATAAAATCTTTTAAAAAAATTTCTTATAACTTTAAAGGGGGGGTATTAATCGCGGCCGGGTGACGATAAAAATTTTTTTACGGCAACCACCTGTTTTTTTATTTTAATATCGCTGATTTTATTATAAAAAGAATAAAAATCACCCGGCTAGAGTGATTTGATGGGTTTACAAATTTTTGGAGACGCTGCAAGGCTTGGAGGAAAACAAGATCGTCACTCATCAGACACCTCAGCACAGTCTAGATCGATTGAGTTTTAGTTGCGGATAAATTTAAAAACAAAATAAAAAGCACAAAAAGTAATAAAAATAAATTGTTAATCTATAATTCTTCCTCTTGCTCACTTTCATCTTCGCTCAAGTACAGCAGTTCGGCTCAAGTACAGCAGTACAAATCGGCTTCCTATCTTATCAATTTCCAGCGCATCTTCACCAAAAGTGACTGGATCTCCTCCATCGTAGGACGTCTTCAGCGCTTTGATTGACACAATTCGATCTTTTTTCATTTGTGGTCGCTTATGGTTTTAGTTTTCTCAAATAGGTGCCTTTTAGCTGAGGTGTCTGATGAGTGACGATCTTGTTTTTCTCCAAGCCTTGCAGCGTCTCCAAAAATTTGTAAACCCATCAAATCACTCTAGCCGGGTGATTTTTATTCTTTTTATAATAAAATCAGCGATATTAAAACAAAAAAACAGGTGGTTGCCGTAAAAAAATTTTTATCGTCACCCGGCCGCGATTAATACCCCCCCCCTTTAACTCCTTAAATTTGAATGAAAGAAAAATGGTGATGTCGATTTGAGAATCTAAAAAAGTTACAAAAATCGAACAAAATGATATAAAATGATTGGTATAAAAGATTGGATTGAATTGGAAAAATTCGAGCATACTAGCGTTCCCACTAAATTCGAGCGTTCCCACTAAATTTCTCGACTTTGAAACGTGAAATGCTTGAAACGTGTACCAATCATTTTACAGGGTGCGGCAGAATTTTTGGTGTTTCAAAAAAAGGGGGAAAAGGGGCCCCCCTTTTTTTTTTTTTTTTTTTTTTTTTTTTTTTTTTTTTTTTTTTTTTTTTTTTTTTTTTTTTTTTTTTTTAATTTTTTTTTTTTTTTTTTTTTTTTTTTTTTTTTTTTTTTTTCCCCCCCTCTTCATTCTTTGTTTTTTTTTTTTGGGGGGGGGGGGGGGGGGGGGGGGGGGGTTTTGGGTGGGGGGTGTTTTTTTTTTTTTTTTTTTTTTTTATTCTTTTTTGGTTTGTGTTTTTTTTTTGTGTTTGGTTGGGTGGTTGTTTGTTTTTTTTTGGGTTTTGGGGGGTGGGGGAGGTGGGGGGGGGGGGGGGGGGGGGCCGGCGGGAGGGCCCCTATAGATTGGGGTTTAAAAATATGGGTTATTTATGTGTTTTTTTGTTTCTTTTTATTTTGAGAGGCCAAAGGGTAACCATCGACCAAAACAAACCAAAACACCAAACTAATGTCCCAATTTTATTGGGGTATGAAGGTGGGGAAAGGGGGTAAATGTGAGGGGGGGTTTAATGGGGTTTTATTGTTTAATTTTTGTTTTTAATCCCTCTTCCCCCCTCCCCTCCTACACAAATCTTGAAATTAAAATAGATCAAAGATCAAAAAGATTATCGCTCTAGTTTTTCTATTTTAAAAAAAAAGATCATCTTATGTAAATTTATGTAGTTATGTAGTTGACGCGCGCAAAAATCTAATCCTCTTTCGCTTTTTTTCCACTTTGGCAAAACTAGAGACTTTTCTGTATCAAATTTTTTCGATTTTTAAGGCTAAAAGAGAAATTTCCTTAAGGTACATTTCATGTTTTCCAAAAAAAAAACCGTTTTTCCTTTCCACTTTCCTCAACATTTTATCAATTTTATCCTAAAAAAATTGACCAAATGACTTCATTTTTGATGGAAAGATAAGAAGAAATCATTTTGTAGACGAAACGCAAAGAAATCTTCTGCTTAAAATCATCTTCTGCTTAAATCTTCTGCTTAAAATCATCATTTTCAACTTTAATATTAAAATGAGTTAAGAAAATTTGGCTGCTTAAAGTCAATAAGCAAGCTTTCGAAATGAAAAATGTTTGGCAATAGCTTGCACCTTAGCTCCGGGAACCGGTTGAGATCCAGAAAATCGGGGTTTAGCTCAAACCCAAACAGAGTTAGTGCGAGGCGCTAGCCGCTAGCCTTCGCACTAAGTCTATTTGGGTTTGGGCTGAACCTTAGGCTTAGGCTCAGGCTTGGACTTAGTGCGAAGGCTAGCGGCTAGCGCCTCGCACTAACCCTATTTGGGTTTGGGCTGAACCCCGATTTTCTGGATCTCAACCGGTTCCCGGAGCTAAGGTGCAAGCTATTGCCCTTGTGCTTTGGAACCCAAGGGGAGGATGCTTGCAAAATTTCAGGTCGCTCTCGTGTCTGGAAGTTGAGATATAAAAAGTTAGGCTTAGGCTTAGGCTCAGGTTCAGGCTCAGGCTCAGGCTCAGGCTCAAGCCCCTCTTGACCCCTCCCTTCTCCTGCTCCTTCTCCTCTTCACCCCTCCCATCTCCTCAAAATAGCCGCTTCACGATGGATCACTTAAACAAAACAAAAAAATAGAGTGAACCAACCTCTTTCAAAACTCTCGGCACTTTTGCTTTTGAAATGAAAAATGTTTGTGTTCGATTTACTTTGAGTTTCCTTAAATCATAAAATCGCTAGCCTTATTCGAAAGTTATTGAATTTAAGAATTTAAACTGAAATTAGACTTGTCGAATTTGTGTTTTCAATGCGATTTTGCTCTTCATCTTTATCATATTTGTTGATATTCTTTGTTCTTTGTTCTTTATCACTTTTCCAATGAATGTTTCAAAGTAAACCGGTCACAAATGGGATCTCAAGCATTAATGAAACATACGAAACACTGAAATTGTGTTTCAAGTTTCACCTACTCGTTAATCTACTATGGATAAAAGATCTGTTTGTCCGTCCGTCTGTAACGGCTTTCTCTCAGCCGTCTTTAAGCCAAAAAATTGAAATTCTGGCTTAAAAAAATTAAAATATCATATAGTTATGTCATTTAAAAGAATAAATTAAAAAAGCCAGAGTCAAAAAATAAATTAAAGTGGCAGTAGGGGGGTCGAACCTGAGTCGTGAGCGCGGGAGGCTCTAGGCCATAGACAAACCCCCTCCCGACTGCGCCACAACCACACAAATCCAGGGGCGAAAAATCCGTTATTTAGCCGGGCTTTTCAGCTGGTTTTATAATATAACAATAATTCATCCCTGAATCATACTGAGTAAATTTTTAAACTTTGTACAAAGTACAAAGTGTACTTCTTCTTCCAATTCTTTGATTTCATTTTCATTTTTTAGGCTTTCAAAAACAAAACCCAAATCAGCAAATTTTCCAGGAAACTCGAACTTCGCCTAGCCGGCTCTCTCAGCTCTCCAAAGCTCTCTCAGCTCTCCAAAGCTCTCTCTCAGCTCTCCAAAGCTCTCTCTCAGCTCTCCAAAGCTCAGCTCTCTCAGCTCTCCAAAGCTCTCCCAAAGCTCTCAAGTTAGAATTTCCACATCTAATAGACCAGATACTCATAATTAATTAAGCATTTATATACTCCATAAGATATTCAGTTATCTAAAAGAATTCCCAAAGTCATAACAGTTACCCGTAATTTCTCAATGAATTCTAAGATCAAAAAATAGATGTACAAGAAATAGATGTACAAAAAAATAGATGTATAAGAAATTAAATGATGAATATTATCATGAATATTATATATTTTCATATTATATTCCATATTCTAGACTCTCAACCACTTTGTTTCCTTTTTGACGTAAAAAGTGAACCAAAAAGAAAGTGAAAATGTCGCTCGAATCGTTTGTTGAATCTTCCGAATTCGCACTGGAACAGGTGAAATAGAAAAACGATTACAAATTAAAAATAAATTGATTTAGAATATAGAATATAGAAAATCGCTTTATCTAGATAAAGACTTTCAAAAGTTTTGCTTCTCTAACTTCTCGTAAAATTGCCGCTTGTTGCAGAGTCGACAACAATTGCAGAGTTGATTATTTTTAAACAAACTCTTTTTTGACAAAACAAAAACAATTTTTGTTTAAAGTTTAAAGAAATTGAGATAAGGAATTGGAAAAAAGATATAATAATGAGTTTTGAAAGAAATTTCTAGGTTCTAGATTCTAGGTTCTAAATTCTAGGCTCTAGATTCTAGGCTCTAGATTCTAGGCTCTAGATTCTAGGCTCTAGATTCTAGGCTCTAGATTCTAGGCTCTAGATTCTAGGCTCTAGATTCTAGGCTCTAGATTCTAGGCTCTAGATTCTAGGCTCTAGATTCTAGGCTCTAGATTCTAGGCTCTAGATTCTAGGCTCTAGATTCTAGGTTCTAGATTCTAGGCTCTAGATTCTAGGCTCTAGATTCTAGGCTCTAAATTCTAGGTTCTAGATTCTAGATTCTAGCCTCTAGATTCCAGGTGATCCCTGTTTACGAGAAGTCCCACTCGTCGATCGCCTCGTCTCCATCCGTCGGTTCGTGGGTTTGGCCTCCTGCTTCTGAGGAAAGGCAGCGTACCACCGTCGTTGAAGTTCGTTTCTAGAAGTCAAAAACTTTGATAACCCTTTTAGCATTTAGATTAGAAGAACTAGAATAATTAAAATCAATTTCCAGTGCGATCAATGCTTTGATCACCTCCTCGGTGGCCAAACACAGCATCGGGCCAATTGCCGTCCAAGAACCGCGCTTGTCGTCGGAAATAAACGATGCATCAAGCGGGCACTCGCAGCCTCGTCTTGTTCCTCATCAGCTTCGTCGGCTAACGGTGAGATTTCTAGAGTTTATTTCTAGTTAAAAGTACGGTAAAGTAGGGTAATAGTACGGCAATAGTACGGTAAAGTCTATGCATTCGGAATAGTGTAATGAGCAACAAGATTACGGTATCTTTAAAGAACAATTACTTGATTATCTTAACTGAGTTTTCAAGTACACGAGTCATGCTCAAATACTGTATAATATTCGTGCTCATTTTCAGCCTCTACCACGTGCTCCATTCTCCCCGAATGCACCTTCCCGCCACGCGATCCACAGTCCTATTTTGGACCACAACGTTTTATGGTAAGCGACCATTTGACTAGCTTGCCTCTTTACAAACTCAATCTATTTTGAAACAAGAAAAATTTCTTCTAGTAAAACTGCTAACACTTTTAACTAACTGCTAGTAAAACTGCTAGTAAACTGCTAGTAAAACTGCTAGTAAAACCGCTAGTAAAACTGCTAGTAAAACTGCTAGTAAAACTGCTAGTAAAACTGCTAGTAAACTGCTAGTAAAACTGCTAGTAAAGCTGCTAGTAGCTGCTAACAGTTTTTCACTTAGGATTTCTTAAAATCAAAGCTAGATCTGGCTTTTGATTGAGCAAAGCGAGTGAGCAAGAATGTCTAAATGTTAGCTTTTCTATTTGACAAAGTCAATTTGAATATCTTAAAACGTTTGAATATTTTTCAGGGCGCCTATAGTGGACGCGGATCCATTTGCGGAGTTTTGGGAGGAGGGTCACAATGAACACTTCAAGTATGTTATAAAGAAAAATATTTACAAAATAAACATAAAGCTACTGAATAACCATAGCTTCTTTACCGGATTCCAAGAGTAATCAAAGCTGGCTTCTTAAGCTAGAACCAGGCCATGGCATGGCATTTTCTGGTCCTGGTTTGCGTACTGGTTTTACTGGTTTTGTTGGTTTTATTGGTTTTACTGCCACTGCTAGAGCTAGACCAATCTTGAATTATATATACTGTGCTCACATATATTTACTTTCCAGCAAATGCAAGGCCGATCACCAGTCCCCATCATCTTCATCGTCATTCCAATCCCAATCCGATCCCCTTCAATGCCGCACTCCATCTCCACTTCCCTTCATGATCCCCTCTCCAACTCCATCCTCAAACTCTCTCCTTTCCCTCTCTCCATTCAATCAACAATTCCTCGATTTAGACCAAATCGTGCACGAGCTCGGCTGCTATGAATGGTGAGTGAATGAAAAGGAAAAGGATTTAAACATTACCAGAGAACAACTAGATAACTTGATAAATGATTACTCTTGAAGAAAGAATACTCTTCTGAACATGATCATGATCATGATCTTAAACATGATCTTACTGATCTTTTCTTACTGATCTTTTCTTACCGATCTTTTCTTCATAATCTTCATCTCCATAATCTTTTTCAGCTACGACATTCGTCCAGTAGAGTCTCCATCATCTTCAGCTCAAATTCCATTCATCGATGACCTCATATTCTCGGTCAGACAAGAGATCGAGCAGGCCAACAAGGTGAAGACTGATTTACAATTAGACTGTGGCTTACAATTAGATTGTTGCAGCTACGGTTATCAATTAGCTTACTTATAAAACAAGCAAGCATCATTCTAGCACTCACTGACACAAGCATCCATTGTAGAGCATGTAGCTCTGTGCTGTATCTTGTAGATCTTACCGTAATCTAGCTAAACAACTGTAAAGACTAATTAGCACAAGTACTCTCGTTTATTTCATTTAATCATCAAACAAAAGATATTCAGCTATCCCCAGCTCAATCTCTAAAGCATATCGCATATCGCAAGCATTATTCTAGCACTTACTGATGCAAGCATCCATTGTAGAGCATGCAGAGCTTACCGTAATCTAGCTAAACAACTGCTAAGTACTCTCGTTTATCTCATTTAATCATCAAACAAAAGATATTCAGCTATCACCAGCTCAATCTCCAGCTCAATCTCAATCTCCATCGCATATCTCGAGTCGAGTCGAATCACCTGAAATTGTGCAGCGAAAGCGCAGTTTTGAGGTAAAAAAAATAACATCAAAATCTTTGAATTTCAGCTTATTTTGGTAAAAACCTTATCAGCTCATCAGCTTAAAAACCTTTCTTTAAAACATTGACATTTACAGCGCTCGTCTTCCATAGAAGAAGTCGTTGAAGATGAGGATGAGGTCCCAGCAAAGAGAAAACCCATCAGGTAATTTAAATCTTTGAAATTGAGCTTAAAGCTTTGAAAAGCTATCTTTAAATCAATATTACCTTTCAGTTTGGCCGAATTGTCACCAGAAGAAGTAGCGGCTCGAAAAAGAGAACAAAATCGAGTGGCCGCGCTTCGTTACAGACAAAAACTGAAGAAAAACAAGAGAGGAGAAGAGGACGAGGTGAAAGAATAAGAATTTCAAATAAACAATCGATTTAAACAATAGAAAAAGAATAGAACAAGAGAATAGATTCATTGCAAGGAATTTGTTTTGCAAGGAAGTCAATTTTCCAAGCCAGGCGCTAGTTCTAGTTCTAGTTCTAGTTCCTGGCTCATAAAGGGTAGCTAGACTCGATTCATAAAGATTACTTCGAGTCGGAGCTGGATCTAGCTTTAACTTAATCTATCCGGCTTTGGCCCGTCTGTTTTTCAGATCTTAGAACTGATCTTAGTTCTCTGATCATTCTGTCTGATCTCTGATCTTTGGAAAACGTTATTCTAATTGTACTTTTCGTACTATCAATACTGCAAGTACAATACAAAGAATAAAACAAAAGAATCGATTCCTTGCAAGGAATTTGCCTACAAACACTTTTAAAAAGCTCATAAAAAGCTCATAAAAAGCATTTATACTCAAATAAAAGCTCTTTACGGCATTGAAATCCCATTTCTAGGTGGACTACCTCACCTCGCGTAACACATTTCTTTTGGAAGAGGTCGATCGATTGGAGCTGGAAGTGAGAAATCTTCGTTGCTCTCTCTATAAACAATTCGGCATTCCGTTAATCTCAAATAAATAGAATTAAAATTAAAATTAAAAGAAAATATTCAAGAAACAAGTTAAGAATATCGTTAAGAAAATTTAATGAAATTTGTTTTTTGGGTAAAAAATAATAGAAAGTACTTCTATTACCGTATTTTCTCTAATAGTAGTGCACCCGGGCGAGCCGAGTTAGTAACGACTTTACGGTTTCCAAGCTTTTCCCAGAAGTCCAACTCTCTAATCCCCCACAAGAGCTCATCGTCAGCTACATTTTCCGATCCCACATCGATAGGTTCTGATAAGTGGTTCTCGAGATTTCAAGGAATTTATACGACGCTCAGGGTGCGCTACTATTACAGAAAATACGGTTGATTGGATAAACTAGCAATAAACTGATTACCGTATTTTCTCTAATAGTAGTGCACCCGGGCGAGCCGAGTTGATGACGATTTTACGGTTTTCAAGCTTTTGCAGAAGCTCAACACTCGAATCCCCCACTAGATCTCATCGTCAGCTACATTTTCCGATCCCACATCGATAGGTTCTGATAAGTGGTTCTCGAGATTTCGAGCAATTTATGCGACGCTCATGGTGCGCTACTATTAGAGAAAATACGGTACTTTTTATTCAAACAACAATTTTCATTAGAAAACTTTAAAAAAGGTTTGATAAGCTTAATTAAAGAAATAAAAACCGAAAACTTATCTAAAAATTTGAAACATTAAACTAGAAATTTTTTCTTGTGCTTAAATTTTGTAAAGGCATTCTTTCTGAGCATTGAAAGCATCACTTTCTTTGCAACTGCAGGCAAATGATGAATTAAAGTGCACTAGAGAGGGTGCATTTACGGATTTAAGCACAAAGTACAGCACAATGTCCAAGTTAAGCTGTAAATCTCATAATATCAAGCTTATCATACCTTTTAGCATTCCCTAAAGTTCGCTCTTGCATTTGTGACTGAAGTGTGCCCCTTTTCTCTGTACAATTTGCTTCATGTACCTGTAATACTTGTAGTTTTTGCTATTTTTAAGTAATCTTCTGTAAATTTACATATAATTTTCTATTTTCTATTGTTTTTAATAAAAGTTTATTCATTTATAATGAAAAACAAATGAAATGAAGAAAAACGGATTAATCTGATTACCCTAAAGTCGCGAGTATAAGTTCTGTTTGGTTTTCGCATGCAAACTGACGGCTGTCTCCGGTGCGGTGTGTCGAGGGTTCGAACCCCGCTGCAGCATAACTTTTTTGCTTTTTAAGAATAGAAATAAATTTATTGAGGGTTATAGCAATTTTATGCTGTTATTTGTTGCTCCGGGCGTGGCTCGGCGCGTCCGCCCTGCTCCTCTCCGGTGCTCATGGATCCGCCCTATGGATCCGCCCTATGGATCCGCCCTATGGATCCGCCCTATGGATCCGCCCTATGGATCCGCCCTATGGATCCGCCCTATGGATCCGCCCTATGGATCCGCCCTATGGATCCGCCCTATGGATCCGCCTTATGGATCCGCCCTATGGATCCGCCCTATGGATCCGCCCTATGGATCCGCCCTATGGATCCGCCCTGGATCCGCCCTATGGATCCGCCCTATGGATCCGCCCTATGGATCCGCCCTATGGGTCCGCCCTATGGGTCCGCCCTATGGATCCGCCCTATGGATCCGCCCTATGGATCCGCCCTATGGATCCGCCCTATGGGTCCGCCCTATGGGTCCGCCCTATGGATCCGCCCTATGGATCCGCCCTATGGGTCCGCCCTATGGGTCCGCCCTATGGATCCGCCTTATAGATCCGCCCTATGGGTCCGCCCTATGGATCGCCCTATGGATCCGCCCTATGGGTCCGCCCTATGGGTCCGCCCTATGGATCCGCCTTAAAGATCCGCCCTATGGGTCCCTCCTTGGCCTATTCATCCGGCCAAAGTCCACGTCGACGGTCGAAAGAGATGCTTTCCAGCGTCTTCTTCAACACTATCGTCTAGATGTATCCATAACAAATAGCAATGGTGATAGGCTCTCACCCTGTAGTATCCCGCGCTCCAAGAACAATAAAAGTTAAGAACTTAATAAAAGTTTATATAACAATAAAAATGTATAAAAACCCAACAAAAAGAAATTCAAAGCAATTAAAGCGAATGTAAATTAACGCAGAACTTATACTCGGATCAACTTATACTCGAGACTTTAGGGTAATTAAGTTAATGCTAATCTCTGGCAATGAGTGGGCACAAATTAAGTGAATAAAAGTGAGGGAAAAACAAAGATAAATGACATAAAGACAAGGATTTATTTACAGAAGAAAAGATTCACTTTAATAAAATTAAGAAAAGAAAACGGGATATAATTGAGAAATGAATTGGTTTTTAAAGTAAACATGGTGCTTTTGTCAAAAAAGGTTAAGTAAAAAAAGGTTTGTTTCAAAGTTTGCAGATATACAAAAGCTTAGCTGATGTTAATTTCCAAATTTAATTTTCTCAAAGCTAACTTTTAATTTTAATTTTAATTTTAAATTGATTTTTTTTATTGACTTTATCTTTATTGACTTTATCTTTATTAACTTTATCTTTATTAACTTTATCTTTATTAACTTTATCTTTATCAACTTTATAACTTTATCAACATCAACTTTATGTTAAAAGTGTGTGGTTACACTTTTAAATACTTTAATTTAATTAATTCATAAACGGACGTTCGAATCCGCTCCGGATCCGATTTAAACGTTAGTTCGCAAACAGTAAACATACTGTTCGTAAACAACATATATAAATCTAAAAACATATTAATTTGTCACACAATTCTCGGGGCTACTGCAATTCGGATCGGACGCGTCAACGATTTGGAGATGATCACCATCGACGATCTTGTAATATTCAATAGTGCAGAATTTTTCGAGACGTCTGCCTGCATTTGGAGTATTAGAGAGAGCTTAGAGCTTAGCAGAGTAGCTTAGAGCTTAGCAGAGTAGCTTAGAGCTTAGCAGAGTAGCTTAGAGCTTAGCGGAGTAGCTTAGAGCTTAGCAGAGTAGCTTAGAGCTTAGCAGAGTAGCTTAGAGCTTAGCAGAGTAGCTTAGAGCTTAGCAGAGTAGCTTAGAGCTTAGAGCTTAGCAGAGTAGCTTAGCTGCTACTGAGTATCAGAAAGGAAATGTTTAAATCATCTTTTTGCATAAAAAACAATGCTCCCCTCCACCAACCTTGATACAGCAGTTCACTCTGAAATGCTTTGTGTGGTTCGGCTAGCAATAGTACATGCAAAATCGTATCTTTCTCCTCAACTTCAATCATCGCTTTCTTTCCATTTAAAGATCGCACCTTGATCTTCATCTTGATACAAAAATTTTCGACTAAAATTCGAGCATTTTACTGATTAAGGCTTCATATATTTATTATTTTACATTTTGAAAAAGTAAACAAAAGTTGAAAAGAAATTAAGAGTCATTTTGTGTCCCTTTTATATCATTTTATGGATAACGATTGGATAAACGAGGCTTATTTCATTCAAGGGACTTTGAAAAAGACAATCTGATGGATGAGATCTTCTAAACATGTACTCAAACATGCCAATGAAAGAGAATCTTGAGTGACTCCACGCAAATGTTTAATAGAACCTTTCAATGCTCTCCAAGTAGACTTGAGTATATAGGGAGCGATTTGTGACATTCACAAAGTATTTGAAATTACTTGTTTACTTACAGCTCACCCGTCTGATTTTTCAAAGGCTCTTGAATGCCTCATTTATCCCACAAAGCCTCATTGATCCAATCGTTTCAAATAGTTTATGGTTAACGATTTTGTCTCCTTTATAAACAAAAGTATTTTCATTTGTAACCAAATGTTTTTCCCTTAATTTCTTTTTTCAAAATATAAAATAATAATAAAGATATCAAGTTTTAATCAGCAAAATGCCCAGATTTTCGCCAAGAACCTATTGTAAAGGATTGTAAAGGATTATTGTAAATACAACTACAGTCGAACCTCTCTATAACGTAACTCACGGGACGGCTATAGCTTACGTTATATAGAGGTTTACGTTATATAGAGTACCGTTTTATATAGCTTAACGTCAGCCGGGACCGGTCACGCCTTACGTTATATAGAGGTTTACGTTATATCGAGTTTTGTTATAGAGAGGTTCGACTGTATTTCAATTGTAAAGGATTAAAATTCAAGACTTGATTGAAAAAAAAAAGAAGCTTCAACTTAGTCAAATCGAAAGCAAGATGGGAAATCAGGAATACCGTATTTCTTCGAATAGAAGACCGGGTAAAGAGTATCATCGCGTACTCCTGCGTAGCAGCCCTTTTTAAAATTTCTTTTCTGCATAAAAGCTTTCAATCAAGTGCTATAGAGCTGGAAAATGGCTCAAAAATCTGTTAGCTCATGTGGTATTTTTGAGTCATTTTCCAGCCCTATAGCACTTCATTGAAAGCTTTTATGCAGAAAAGAAATTTTTAAAAGGGCTGCTACGCGGGAGGCGTACGCGATCATACTCTTTACCCGGTCTTCTATTCGAAGAAATACGGTAATATAAGTTGAGTATTCGATATATGTCATGTAAACTATATGATAAATTTCAAATAGAAAACAAATTTCTAGCTATTTTTTTTAATTGCTTTCTAGCTATAAAACTTTAAAAGCAAAAGATGCAAATAGTTTTCCGAATTCTGAAATAAACAGTGACAATAAAGAAACTTTTGTCAAAATGGATTTGAAAAGAGAAAAAGGCGGAAAAGATAGGCAAAAATCGACCAGTTTTCAGGAAAAAGATACACACAAAAAAAGGCTAAAAGACGGAAAAGA